TGAAGTTGCAGCATTTTTACAAACCAATTCTGCTTCATCCGTTTCATTCAACAATCCACTTTCACCCTTCTCATTTTCCGTCGCCGCCATGCTTTTTCCGCCATGTGCGTATGCAAACAAAGGCACTGTGCATGCGCGTTTTACCCAAATTCTATCGCGATATTTCATTTTTTTTATACCGGTATTACAGTCAACGGTATGATATGGCCCAGCCCTAGTATCAGGTACCTTTTTAGTGCCTACTCAGCCAGGGTGCCACGTGATTTGAATGTTCTGAAATGTGACATCAAAAGACTGACTGGGTAGCCAGTGGCATCAATCGAGTCATGAGAGCGACTCCATTTTTGGAGACATTTTTGAAACCCGGCTACACAAAAGCCAACACTGTGCTCCCAGAATCTGACAAAAGTCATAGACAGAGCAGCAGGTATTCCATCACCTTAATGTCCTCCATTGTTGTGTTGTGTTTGTGTTATGTACAAATGACATAATGGGACTTTTAGCCGCGTTGCTATAACAACCCCATGCACATTTAGGAGGTACTCAATTTTAATGGAAAACAACCAAAACTGAGTCAAGTTGACACTAATGGAAAAGAGACACGTTACACGTCTCTAGGCTCAGGCTGCTGGGGTCACTGTGATAGACTAAAAGCACTCATTTCTTCTCCACTCCCCTGATTTCAGTCCTGTCCCGAAGTCTTGAGCCACCCTTATTTCATCATATTCTGCTATGAAAATATGAAATCGTTTCAGTTATTTTTTTTTAAAAAATGTGCACATAATGGTTATTCAGCATATAAAGCACTTTACAGATGGAACTGCGTGGCAGATCAGCCTCATACGATACAAGACAAATCAACATGATTGGCTGAAATGCAGCACCAAACCATGACAGGCTGTAAGAACTCACTGCTGTACGTCTCTCCTCACCTGCTCTGTACTCTGTACAACCATCTGAACCAAAACTGTCTACTGATAGTACTGATCTGGCATAAAAGTCTGCCAAATCACAACATGAAGAGCTACTTGCTGTGCTGACCCCTTTTGAAAAAAAGCACCTGAAAGTTGCTTAGATGATTCCTATATGACCAGAATAGTCAGACTCACCTGATGTTGTAAAGAGGTTGTGTCTGATGGACAACAATGCTGCATGTGGGACACTTGTTGCTGTAGAAGAAGTGCTTCACGATGCAGCTTTTGCAAACTTGGGGAGGAAAGAAAAAGCACAAAAAATACTTTTCAGACATCAAATACTCATTTCTCACATGCCCACAAACATTTTTAAGTATCATTTAAATAAATCATTTACAATGCAAACTATAAGAAAAAAGACACTGCTTCATATACATATTTCATGTATTTGTGGCAGTTACAAGAGTTTTGCACAGCACTGCATAAATGCTGATACAACCATTATTCCCACCACATTAAATCATTAAACGCAGCAGATAAAGATGCAACTCACATGTGTGCAGACACTCAGTGATGGTGGTGGCATCTATGAGGAACCCACAGCAAAGGGCACAGCGGATGTATGGATAGAACTGATTAAGGGGGAGCGTGGGCTGTGGAAATGTAAACAAACCAAAGTAAATGATTAAATGATTTTTAAAAAAATCACTATAACCTTATAATTACTATGCGTCAGCTACTATTTATATTAACGTGTACATTCCGTGTAGTGCATTGTTCTGCTAAGTTCAGTGGGCAGGACAGCTCTTGAACAGTAGATATAACTGTCAGAACAGCATGAAAAGCCGCCTCTATTATGAATAAACAGCAGGAAAAAAAACACAGGTGAGGGAACACCTGTAAACGCACCTCGTCCTCGGAGTCGCTGTCTGATGCGTTCGCTGACCCTTCATGACTCCTGCGACCTAACGGCGATGACATTCCCGCTTCAAAACCCTTCACTCGTCTCTTTTAGTTACGGCCAAAATGGAAACTTAAACAGCTTCCTCTGGCTAAATTTCAGCTTTGCACTAACGAGCGACGTTTTCTTTAAGTCTGGCTAAACTTGTTTTTAAGTTAGCTTGGCTAGGCGGCTAACGTTAGCTGGCTTATTATGCATCACCAGAAAAAAAAACGCACGTGAAAGCGGCAACCGTCTAGCAGCTAACGTTACTGAAAATGACTAAGTAAAAGAAACATCCTTCAGACGTACTAATGCCTAAAAGTTACATTTAACATAAAACGATATCACGTCCTAACTTAAAGCACTTTGTTGCTTTCTTCATGCTCATATAAACAACTCAATTTCCCTCGCTCGTGTTCGGCGAATGGCGACTATATTACAACTTCCGGTCTGGGTACTTCAAAATAAATGTCATCTGACCCTAGACTTGAGCATAAATTATACGTAAAACCTACTCTTTTCTTTATCACTAATATATAATTAATATACTGTATTGAATATATAGTGGCTCTCAAGTGTTCTTTAAAGAAACTTTCAAAAAAACAATTGTATGCCTGTCTTTATGTGTTTAAATAGCTGCTGTTGTTAGAAAGCAACTGAACCTTCACAGACTCTGACTCAGCAGGCAGGTTGACATGTGCCCGTGAATGACTCTGAAAGTGTTGTAGCGAAGGGTTGACTGCCCTGTATGAGATACTTAAGGCTCATGGAAATAGACACTTTGTAATGAATCAGTGAAATTCCTGTTAATCCTCCTGCACAGAAATTGGCTGTAATTCAATAGGCGAACAGCAGAGGGTGCTTCTGAGACAGTCTTAAATGAATAGCTAGTAAAGGAGCTGAACGGCTAAACTAATTACTAGAGCTCCATCCACACGAAATAAAGTCCAGGCAATGTAGTGACCAGAGATCATAGATAGAAAGTTAACTATAAGCTGTTGGTTGACTGAAACGTGGCAACAGCCTAATGATTTTGTTTCACTTAATGGCTCTACTCCATCTGAGTTTGTTTACATCTGTCAACCTGGCAACTCCGGGCGGCCTCGCGATAATTCACCGCAAGCACTGGAAAGTTCTCCCTGTCTCTGCACCACCCTTCAACTCATTTGATAACGTCGCTACTTGGATCTACTCCCACCTAAGCCAAATAATTTTAAATGACTTTGCTGCGCTTCTCACTCATTTCTCGGTACTTTCCCCAAATTTAATAATTGGTGACTTCAATATCCATATGGACAATGATAAAATCCCTCTTTCCAGAGATGTCTTGTCTGGAAAGTTTTGGGCTTCTACAATACATGAAATTTTCTACTAATTCTAAAGGTCATATCTTGGATTTGGTCTGCTACTCTGGCGTTACCTCCGCTCGCTGTAAAGCCCCAATCTGATCATAAGTTTATTTCTTTTACTATAAATACAACAGCCTCAAAAACTTGTACTCCCCGTGACATCACATTTAGGAAAATTAATAATATTAACCCTGGTGATCTTTCATCTGCCATTTATGATTTTCCATTTGTTCACAGCACCTCATCCCCAGATGAACTTGTTTCTCACTATAATGTCAACCTCCACAACCTTCTTAACATATTTGCTCCACTTAAACACCAAACTGTCGTCTCATTTTCCCGTTCAGCACCATGGTTTACTCTTAACCTGCGCCATCGCAAAGCTAAAGGACGCCAAATGGAACGTCTGTTCAAGAAAACTGGACTTACCATACACAAAGAAATGTATAACGATCATATCTGCATTGCTTCAGCCAAATCTGCATACTACTCTGGTTTAATCAGCTCTAGTAAAGGTAACTCCAGGTCTCCCTTTTCATTGTTTAGTAAAATTACAAAACCTCCGGACTCATTCCCCTCTCATATGGACTCTGCTGACTTTTGCAACTCTCTTATGTAGTTTTTCACTCATAAACTGTGAAGTAGACTTTCTGTTTCCCTCACTGTCTTCCTCCCAGTCATTTTCATTTTTACTCTTCCCTCCATAGCTGATGTATCAAATCTTATTCAAAAATCAAAATCATCCACTTGTCAGCTTGACCCTCTTCCCACTGTGTTAGTTAAAGCTTGTCTTCCCTCACTGGCTCCTCTTATAACTAGTATTATCCACTCTTCCTTTAACACTGGAATTATTCCTCCATCCCTGAAAACTGCTCCTGTCACTCCAATTCTCAAAAAGCCGGGTGCAGATCCCAATAATTCTGATAACCTCCACCCTATATCAAACCTCCCCTTTATTTTGAAAATCCTTGAGAAAGTTGTTGCCTCCCAGCTTCACTCATACCTCAATGACCATAATCTCTACAAACAATTTCAGTCTGGTTTCCGCCCCATTCATAGTACAAAAACTGCTTTGTTAAAGATTACGAATGACCTTCTGATGGCAGCTGATTCTGGTCTTTTAACCATTCTCATCCTTCTTGATCTTAGTGCGGCATTTGACACAGTTTCTAATAATATCCTCCTGAACAGATTAGCATCCATTGGCATTAGTCATACCCCCCTTGCCTGGTTCACCTCATATCTCTCAGACCACACTCAGTTTATCCAATTTAATTAAGTCTCTATCCTGTTTCTGCTGGTGTGCCCCAGGGTTCAGTATTAGGGCCTCTTTTATTCATTATCTACATGCTCCCTCTTGGCCAAATATTCCAAAAATATAATATAAATTTTCATTGTTATGCTGATGACTCCAAACTTAATTCATCCCTTCCACCTACCTCCCTCTTGAACTGTCTTATGGAGATCAGATCTTGGTTCTCCTCCAATTTTCTCAAACTTAACAGTTGGCGTGTGTCGTTGGCACAGCCTCTACCTTAACCAAATCTCACAGTTTCCCCATTAATATTGAAAATTTCCCCATCCTTCCATCCCCGCAGGTAAAGAGTTTGGGTGTCATACTTGACAATACTCTCTCATTTCAGCCTCACATTAATTACATAACCCGGTCTGCATACTTTCACTTACGTAACATTAACCGACTTCGTCCCTTCCTTACTCCCCGTGCTGTTGCCATCCTTGTCCATAGTCTTATTACTTCCCGAATCGATTATTGCAACTGCCTCCTATTTGGTCTCCCCAGTAAGTCCCTCCATAAACTTCAACTTCTTCAGAATTCTGCAGCTCTGGTCATAACTCGTACTCCCTTTAGAGCACAGGTATCAAACTCCAGGCCTCAAGGGCCGGTGTCCTGGAGGTTTTAGATGTGTCCTTGATCCAACGCCGCTGATTTAAATGGCTAAATTACCTCCTCCACATGTCTTGGTGTTCTCCAGAGGCCTGGGAATAAACTAATCATGTGATTCAGGTGTGTTGACCCAGGGTGAGATCTAAAACCTGCAGGACACTGGCCCTCGAGTTCGACATCCCTGCTTTAGAGACTATATCACCCCACTTCTTCAACAGCTTCACTGGTTGTCCAGGATAAACTTTAAAATATTAGTTCTCACGTTTAAGTGTATTCATAACCTTGCCCCTCATCTCTTTGATCTGCTTCATATCACCACAGTTTTCCGCTCTCTCATCTGCTACACATAGCCTCCTGCGTCAAGTCACCTCTGTTTCCATGGTAACATAGAGATAAGCAGTCCTAATGGAGTTACATGTTGCACTGATATGACCATCACAGTTAAGACATGCTGTTATAGATAAACCAAAGCAGCATTTAGAACAGACCTTACATCAGTGTTAGGGGGCCTTGTGTTAATGTAGCACCTCTCTGAGGAACATGAACCGGAAGGAACCACTGAACAGGAAAGTAAACATCACACGATCAGAAATAAATCTGTAGACTTACAGAAAGTACTCTCAGCTTACTTGGACTTTATCCTGTAATTTTTTTAAAAACAAAACAACAAATAGAGCTCGTCAGCTAATTCACAAGAAAGGTTTTTTCTGTCATTTTGTGAAATACCAACAGCAAAAACATATTTTTCTATTTTTTAACGGCTGAGCTCAATGATCTCTCAAAACAGGAATTGTTTTCAGTTATGTCGTCGTTTACCTATAGGAAGTGTATTTCAGCAGAGATGGGAACTGATAAGAATTCAGCCGTCCTGATTCCTTATCAGTTCACCGGGTTCTCATTGGCTCCACTCTCAGAGTCACCGTCGTCACTGAGCAGTATATCAGGCATTCATGCAAATTAATTGCTTGCTGTGGATGTTGTCTGTGCACATTGGAGCTGTTTCTGCTCTTATCAGTGTTGTTGTTGTTTCTAAAAAGTAACGCAGTATGTTAAGTACCAACTCCAAGGAGAAAGTAATTCATTACAGTACTCATTACTTTCACATTTCTCCATAAGACAAGTGAAACACACTGTTTCATAACTAGCATTTAACAAAGTAAACTTATAGGCCATAGGCTAAACCTACACAAATCCCAATCCTAATGAGAACACAGATACGATCTTTCTCCTGGTATTTAGATATGAAAACAACAATAAAAACCAGCAAAAAGAGAATTTAACGTGACAGCAGCCTCGGTGCGTAGCTGCAAATTAAAACGTTGGAAAAAGAAGTTGCAGAATTCAGTTTTCCAAGGACACAAATCATACTGTACTGACAGCCACCTTTCTGCAAACAACAACAACAACAACAACAAACAAAAGGCATTCATTCCCGGCTGTACTTTGTATGTCTACAGTCAAATATGTGAAAACCACTTTTCTTTTCATGTCATGACTTTAAGTAACAGTAAGGCATTTTTACATTCACGTGTCACTTGAGTCCAGAATTGCTGTTATAGTTAAACAAAACTCATCACTCGCCCTGGACGTGTGAGTCCATGTTTTCTATTTCACAACATGAAATATTATTTAAAATATGAATGGGGTCTGAATGCCAAAATTAAGTTAGTTCTGCTGTAAAGTGCAGATTTGCATCATGTTGCTAGGAAACAAACTGGTTTGAATCAAATTAAATGTATTTTCAAAGCTGTAACAGAAATACTTTTAGGATTTCTGGCCTACACTTGGTTACAACTCAGCTTATTTTACAAATTTGTTTTTGTTTTTCTTCAGTTGACATGTGACCAAATCTGCACTTAAAAGCTGTATTCTGAAATTACAGTTAAGTTTTTGATGCATAATTGCAATGGACGCCATCAGATATGAAAACTGCTATGCACCCAGTGAGGTTTCCAAACAGACGGTTCCTTCAGACTGGAGAAATGTTGAGTGGACCAACGTACGTTTCCCTTCTGCTTTCTGAGGATCACAACAGGACAACACGTCAGCTCTGTGCTTTGCTGTCTGACTCTGTGCTTTACTCTGACAGAAAATGAAAGTCTATCTGGATTCTGACCAAGCTGTTACTGCCAAGGATCTGCTCAGCATGTTCTCACCTTTTGGATGTGTCATCTGTGTTCAGGTAACTG